CGGTGCGGCTAATCTATGGATTTTTACTGCTAACGGCCACTAGGGGACCTCCTAAATCTATGGATTTTACAGGTTACAGTCCACCACCTTTAACTCTATGGGCTCTATGGCCGGTCCGCGCCCCCCACCTTTAAGCGGCGGGCTCCAGCAGGAAAAGCTGGAGGCCGGAAAAGAGTGAGACAGGTAGCGCGCAAAAGTAAAAGTGGAACCGAGAGTGGTACGAGAGACAGAACGAGAGCAAGACAGACAGACATTACGAGAGCGAGACAGTTTGTCCCCGTACCACTGGTTGAAAACCACTGCTGTAGATCACTGCCGGTACGTGCGCTGGGAGCGCACCGTTTAAGTTTGAAAGTTGAAAAGTTTGTGTGTCTGAAAGGCTATGTGATACAGTACAGTTTACACAGCACATGTTCTGTAGCTACTATTTCACTAAATGGTAACACTTGAATACGTTATGCAAATATGCAACTTGTTTGTTGAAATGTTAATAAATGGGAGCTTCCTCAAACAGCCATCTCTTTCCCGACAATCCCCTCTGTGCACGAACCCTTACATATGGTAATTAAACATTAAAACACCTGCGGCTTATAGTCCAGTGCGGCTTATATATGTACACATCATTCAATTTAGCTGCTGCGGCTTATATTCAGGTGCGCCTTATAGTCCGGAAATTACGGTAGTTAGTTTATTGATTGTTTTTTCTCTTGCGGTAGTTCTAAAAGACATCCTTTGGGATTAGTTAAGGCATTTTTTCTATTTTATTTATACTGTTTGGACAGATGAGTTTGAAAATGAGGCAATAAAAAAGAACTTACCTCGTCTTGATTGTTTGATTGACAACCACCTCTTTCTCCTTGTCATCCTCCGTCTCGCCTTCCTCTTCCTCGCTGGACTCACAGTCCACAGACAGCAGGTCTCCCTTCATGGAGTTCAGCTGCATCTCCTAAGACACATTCAAAAAGGAGGAATTCATTTAACATCTTCAATGGGACTAACACAGATGTCTCTTTGACTGGAGACATCTTTTGGGCGGAGTGTGAACATTATTTACCGGGTCCCTTTGTGCTTCCTGGTTCTGATCGCCATTGGAGGATCCGTCTCCATTCCTTCCGCTGTAGTCCAGGTCCTTGGCGGTGCTTTTGCCACCGTTGTTCCAAACACGCATCTGTTTCTCCCTAGGCTTCAGAGGCTTTGGGGATTTACTGTGAGCAGGATGACAGAATACTCAAATTAGCTCATTAAAGAAGAAGCAATAAGATTCATTTTTAACTAGGTGACTGACATAACCTCCTAGCTATCGAACAATGTTTCTGGATCTATGGAAGGCAAGCAAACCAATAGCAAGGTAGGTAACAAGCATTTGCTTTCTCCTGACACAATCATAACTGTTAAAGTTAAGGAGTGTCCCTTTTAATAATACACTTCGGGATCAATACTTTTCATATTGCTGAAATGGAACTGACACAGACTTAGTACACTGCTGTTGGCCAGTCTGCAAAGCACATTAAATGATACTCAGGGTATATGCAGGAATCCTGAAGTCAAATGTAAAACATTTTAAGACCTTTTTTAAGACCCTTTCCATACATTTTAAAACCTCATCGCCACTTTGAGCTTTAACCGGTTACCTTGGCGACACACTTGACCTCACATTAACTATATACAGTATTGATTGTCCTTCCTCCTTATCTTCCAACCATTTGGACGCAGACTTGCATTTCCCCATAACGATGTTGTTTAACAACCGGCGTAAACGGGCCTTCGCGCGCTATCAAGCAGTGAGCGTGCGATGTCCTGTTCAGATGACGTCAAATCCAACGGGATGCCATAAATAAACTACACAGAATCACACTACACACCTACGCAATGATTACATTCAGGCAGACTGTAGAATACAACCTCTTTGGACAATTTATATACTTATTGAAAACAAGCTACCAAATGTAATACCTTGGAAAATGCTGTTTAATACTTTTTAATAGCCTTCATTTTGGCTAAATTGATTTATCAACTTTTAATACTTTTTAAGACCCCGCGGACATCCTGGATACTATATCTTGCTTGATATTTATGAATTTATTTTCTCTTACATGGGTTTCTCAGTAGGTACGGCNTGCACTCCACACAACCGAAAGAACAGGTCGTTCGTCGTCCTTATTCCTAAAGAGCCTTACAAATCTTACTTAGTTTCACCCAGCAAGTGGGAGCTAAGAAGAATACGAGTGTGTGCTTCATACGTAGCCACCCCCACGTACCCTTATCCAAGGGGGGTGGAAAAACGGGGGCCCGAGAAATCATCTTCTTACAAGCAGAACATTTACTCTTAACCCTAATCTATCACCAAAGTAGAACACACAAAAGAGATAGCACACTCGAGGTGTGCAAGTGAGCAATAATGTCACAACAAAATGTAGACACACTACGACCCGCTACGACTCACTAGGCAGTGCAAGTTCTGTACCTCAATTGAAAAAAAAAGAGTTATGTATTTGAAACACACCTTTTTACGAACGACCCCCTAAATACGCGGGAAAACTATTTATACGGCCGGAAAAATCCTTATAGCTAACAGAGTTAAAAAACGACCCAATAACGACCATTTAAGACCGCTAGCGCTCTAGCGACCAAAAAAGGGACCGTCCCAATCATAATTCGAATTTAATTATGCGTAAAAAAACATTCCATTTATTCATGACAAAAGCCAAAATTGTTAAGTTAAACGTAAAGAATGCGAAATCGTAAGACGAAAAATCAAGGTGGAGTGTTTTGTAGTACGGTCAAAGGGAGTTATTTTTGACATACACGGAAATGAATGATGAATGATGGTTTGAGGACCCAGAACTCGTTAAATTTCCCGGGGGTAAAACGAGTAAATCAACCTCCAAAACCCTTTCGAGGGCTACAAGAAACGAGGTGAGTAGCCTACAAGATTGAAGCTGCAGATAACGAACGAGTAAATGAAAACAGAATGAGGCGGAGAAGTGTGTGTGTGTGTGTGTGTGCGTGAGATTAAAATAGCCCAATTGCTTTTACAATAAATAAACATTGAATGTTTTTAATTGAATAGTAAAGGGGTTTAACGTTAGTGGCAGGTTGTGTGTGAGAGAGAATAAATAAGACAGCCCAATATTTTTTTTAAAAATCGATAATTTTTTTCCGCATATTTAGCATATTTCGCAACTTTCCGCGCATTTCGCAACTTCCCGCAGTTTCACCGCATAAAATCACATAAAACCCCGCATGTTTTATCGCATAATCAAGGATTTTAGCCCGCATAATCAAGGAATTTAGCCCACATAATCAAGGATTTTTGCCCGCGTTTTTCTGGAGGGTCTATTAATCGTTCTGTTTCTTTGCTTGAAAAAGTGTTACACACAAACTGCAGTAAATTCTTACTTCGATATAATAGCATTTTTAATGTTGGCGACTACTCCCCATGTAGGTTCAATAGCTGACAGTTAGCAAGAGTGGATGTCCAATTATGCCATTATGACACACTATTAACATTTCATTCTTCGTTTATTTTTGCAGTTTTAAGATTAACTGCTTGTAAAAAATGTTTTCCTATTCATATGTAGGTGATCACGCGGTGAAAACCAAATGTCCTGAGGATCATCAGTGTCAAGTTGTCCACGTGGGTGGGCATGTAAACCAGATGGGAGCTTTTCAGTCAGGCTCTTTTGCATGTAACGGGCACAACCATGAAAGTGGCTGACCGCACTAATTACGGTAGATATTAGTCATTAGTTTGATCTCCATGAATTTTCTGCCTGAGGAAAGGAGGCGAGCACAATGTCAACTTAAAGACTGACAACAGGGACACCGCTTCAGGGAATTAGAGCGTCGTGGGGCTGAAAGATTACTTGCGACATCAAATTGGACAAAACTACATTAATGGCGAGATTCACATTTGACCCCTCGCTGAGAAGAAACACTGTGCACAGAGGAGAGGGTTAAAAGGTGCATAACTCTAACATTGCCTCACCTTAAGGACACTAGCTAGTTAAAGGGGCCCTATTATGCAAATGTTCAGGTTTCATAATTGTATTTTGTCTATTTTTACATACAAAGTGCTTGTTTACATTCTTACATGACTCAAAAAGGTATTTATCTTTCTCAAACCAGAGCCCAGTCTGCTCCGATTGTTTAACTGGCCGGCTCTGTAGTGATTGCTCAACAGCTTAGAGATGTCCCGTCCCTTAGCGTTTCACGTACAATGCGTTACGCCAGGTGTTACATAGTGATTTAACTTTGTCACCGAAGTGAGTGAAGGGGGGGCGGTCCCTCTTTCGCGTTAAAAAGCACCCCGGTCCCGGGGCACCATCCCCCACACCCGCGCCTCCCCGGGATAATACGTTTACAAGTCCGAAAGTATTAACATAAAACACGATAATAATGTATGTTTCGCACGAACAACCATCGTTTAGACATGTACTGGAGGTTTTCCGCCATAAAAGAAAGTAGCATTTGTCTCGGGTCGAAGACGAGGCTAACAAAATTCGACGGCCGAGACGATCACTAAACGCGAGTTGTCGCATCCTCTGCACAGGGCCAGGGAATCGGCAAAAGTCGCATGTTACGGGCAATGCTCGGTCCATCAATGTTACAACTAATATTGAACGCAGTGGCTTCACTCCTACTTCCCCCCCCCCCCCCATTCTAACGACGCACTCTGCCTTTGGGAACCGCAATTGAAACCCTAAATCGTGAACGTCTGGTAAATGTACGTGTTTGAGTATATTGTTGCGTTGTACTTTTTGCGGGTTTTTCGGTTATCCCGGAGAAATTTCAGTTTCCTTGTGGTCCAAGAATACCTTGTGACATCGTACATAAAACGTAAAAATTTTATGTAAACCTTTTTAGTGTAAATTTTACCTAAGTATTAGGATTTGTTCCGTATCCGAAGACACATCAAATAGTAGAGAGAGAAAAAGGAGGAGGAGGCAACACAACACTCTCCTCTACTATGTTGATGTGTCTTCCCGGATACGACAAATCCCTAATACTTAGGATAAAATTTACACTAAAAGTTTACATAAATTTTAAGTTTTTTGTACGATTGTCACAGTATTCCTTGGGCACAAAGGAAACTGAAATTCCGGGCATAAACCGAAATAACCCCGCAAAAGTACAACGGCACATATATATCCAATAAACACGTACATTTACCAGACGTTCACGATTTTAGGGTTTCATTGGCGGGTTTCCTAAAGGAGAGTGCGTGTGAG